TCGTCAGATCTCAGAAGCTAAGCAGGGTTAGTAGTTGGATAGAACTCCAGGCTTGCTATGCAGGCAAATGGCAAACTGTCCACCCCCTCTGCTTCTCACTTGCCTTGAAAGCCCCTTGCTGGGGTCTCCATGAGTCAGCTGTGACTTGACAGCACCTTAGACACACACACACACACACACACACGTGATCTCTGTATCTCTATATTTAATGCTAGAAACGTAAAATAGAAATATTACTTTTTGATCCAGTTTGGCAAGGAATTCCCTCATAAATCAAAGCAAAAAATCAGGGAATAGGGTCCCTGCTCCTGTTAGCCTCTTTATGATGTGAATATGCAAGGCTGATGTGACATCTCTGTTCTCTCCACCTATTTTAATAATAATTTTGTGCTGTCAAGTCATAGCAATGTCTCATGGGGTTTTCAAGGCAAAAGATGAGCAGAGGTGATTTGCCATTGCCTTCTTCTGCATGGCGACCCATCTTCCATGGTTCTCTCCCATCCAAGTACTAACCAGGGCAACGCTGCTTAGCTTCTCAGCTCTGATGACCTGGAAGTAGTCTAGGCTATTCAGGCTCTCCACCTATCTTAAAGGTAAAGGTTCCCTTGCTCGAAAGCCAGTTGAGTCCGACTCTAGGGTTGCGGTGCTCATCTCCGTTTCAAAGCCGAAGAGCCAGCGCTGTCCGAAGACGTTTCCGTGGTCATGTGACCGGCATGACTAAACACCAAGGCGCACGGAGCGCTGTTACCTTCCCACCGAAGTGGTACCTATTTATCTACTTGCAATTTCTTGCTTTCGAACTGCTAGGTTGTCAGGAGCTGGAACTAGAGACGGGAGCTCACTCTGTCATGCGGCAACTCGGGTCTCGAACTTCCACACATACTGACAGAAAGGACATTAATTGTATAATGTGTAATAAGACCCTAAATTCTCCTCCATTGCATGAATCTGCCTTTCAATAAGACACGGTAAATATTTTTTGAAAACAGCGATCTACAGGGAGATGAGGAAAGCATCAACACTCATATCTCAGGCTCTCACAATACCCCCTCCCATCCTGAATCAATTCACAGTATAGGAGAACGTGTGAAATAAACATACAAATAGTGATTTTCTTCAAGATCGTTCCTGACGATTTTTTAAGTGCCTCCCTCCCCCAGTCAATAATTGTGACTCTGTTTCAGCAAATCCAGGTATCTTTGTCCAAAACAGTACTTTTTGTTGCAGGGACATCCCATATTTAGAGCATTTGACCCACAATACCATATTATTTGGAAATGTGTGCAGGCTAGGAAACACAGCTGTAGGCAACTTTACTTTCTCAGCCCATATGGATGAGCCACCACAGGATTATCTCCTCACAGCCCACTCAAGCCCCTATCACATTCAAAAAAACACAATAAGATAATTGGTGAGATGATAGGCACTTCTAATATCCTCCAGCAGCACCTTCCCGGCTCCCTAGATGATTTGGGCCCTGGGGATGTTGTAAGTTCATTCCCTGCTGGCAGAGTGCCTATGCAGCAGTCAGGACACTGAACTGATTAAATAGTAGCTTTATTTCAGAAGTAACAAACTGGATAAGAAACAGAAGAGATAACCTAGCTGGCTAGCTAGCTGAGAGTTCTAGACCATTCTAGAAAAAAAAAGGCTAAGTAACATTCTGCAGTCAGCCTAGAAAAAAACAACCCTTCAGAAAGAAGATACTCCCCCTACAGTCCTATCTAGCTAGAGCTTGCTGCCTTCTGCAGGATCTTTCTTCCTCTTTGTACACAGGACATTGTTATATTCCAACACTCCCCCACTGGCCACTGTGCTTGCAACAATATTTGTTAGCTGGTAGAATGGAGTTCCAACCAACGAATGGACAGACATGGACTTTAACATTAGAACAAAAGAACATTAGATGGCTGGCCTTGGAAAGTAACACTATTCAGCTAGAGGGAGGAACAGAGAAACAAGTGTGGTTGCAGAGAAGCAGTAGCCACAGCTAAGCAAACACATAAGCATCTTCTGTAATTTTCTTATAGTTTAACTGATTATTTGGTTAATTCCCTGTAAAACAATTTGGACAGAAAAACTACCCTGAAACTCATGAGCTGGACTCCCTCAAACATGGTATATCAGTATGTATCGTGCTTATAGCCTGGGGGGAATGAACGTTTCTTGCTGTTTTCAAGAACTATTTGCAGTCAGGAGGAGTATAAGGCTCTTGTCATTAATCCACTCCTCTTACTTGTAATTAGTGAAATCATTAGCAGGCGGTTCCTGTTTTAATTGCTCTGTTCGCTGTCAGTTGAAGTCTGGAATATTCTGAACACACCAGGGCAAAGAAAATTTAGAGCACGTATTTCAAAATTAAGAACTCTTTCTGTTAAATCCATCAAATCTTTTGCAGTCACCCAATGAGGAAGGGAATGAACTGGGAATATTTCCAGATTTCTTGCAACTGAGCTGTTCCCTCCCCCCCCCCTTCCATTCTGTTCCATACTTTCATATTCTGGGCTTCCACCAAGGAATTCAGAGTGGCCTACATGGATAAGGTGATCCTTCCCCCACCCACCCCCAACCACCATGTCTGGTTAACTGGACTGAAAGAGGATGGTAATCCCAGAGTCACCTAGTGAGCTTCAGGGTCCAAGTGCAGATTCAAACTCTAGTGTATCTGGTTCATGTCCAACACTACTGGACCACACTGAAGGTTCAAGCCACATGTGTGTTGGGAGTTCCATGTTCAGAGCTCCCAATGTTTTTTCTAAAGTTGATTGTGAGGTGTGTGGGAACCCAAGACAGATTAAGACGTGACATGTGGAGGGTAATTTTCAACTTGCTTTCCTGATCTGAAATGGCCTGGGTAGTTGCTCGTCGCCCCAAGGACATCTACTCATAAATTGCATCCAGTGCGGCACACAGCAGCTTTCTGGGGCCTGTTTCAGATTGGGGAAATGCCATAGGGGCAGGCCCACAGCCATGGTGGGGCATATTGTGGCCATGCCCCTCCCAGTTCTCCCTCCATGCCCCAGAACTATTCTGAAAATCATTGGAGTTTTGCAATTTTTTTAATCCATTTAAATTTGAGGTCCATTTAAATCATGCCATGGCATGCTCCTCAGCTGGCTCCCAAGCTCACACCTCAGGCTGGCTTCCCGCAGAGCAAACATGCATCAGGTCAGGCAAATGTGCATTGGTCAGACGGGATGGCGAAGAGCTAGTACCGCATCCCCTGGCTGCCCTTTCCACTGACGGCACTGGCGAGCATCGCACACAGCGCACAGCCCCCACTGGCCGCTTCACTCTTTGTCTAGAGCCACTGAGCTGAGACCAACATGGCTGCAGCGACAACACCTCCCAGGAAGGCAGGCAGGCAGGCAGGGAGGCACCAGCGAAGGAAGCGGAGAAGCCAGGAAGGTGGAGGCCGACCTGTGCCACTCACTTGCCAACCAACCAGCCCCACAAGATGAAGGTGGGTCTCTCCACCCCAACTTTCTCTCCCCCCCCAAATCTCTCTCTCACCACAGCAGCAGCAAACATTTCCGCCAGACTTTCCTTCCCCTTCAGGTATGTGCTCACTCTTCAGGTATGTGCACTTGCTCATCTGGGGCTTTTTATTTTACTTATTTTTTATTTTATGACATCACGCCTCACTGGTTTCCCCAGTGACCCCCCAATAAAATTTCCTGACTACGAGCCTACACGAGGGACAAGGTTTTGGAACCTGCCCCCCACAATCGTAATCTGAATTCCTCCCACCATACCTGACTTAAAAAAACATCTTGTATGGCCCTCACTCTTCACCTCTTGCTTCCATCCTCCTGCTCAGTTCATATACCCCTCATTCCATTTTTCTCCTATAATTCATCTAGTTTTGCATACTTCATGTCCATCCTGGAATGCAGCTTACAGGACTCATAGCCTCATACCTTTCTTTCAATATTTGGGAAGCCCAGAGCTAGCACTGTAATTAGTCTTTTTTTATATACCAGGGCAGTCCAATTCTGTACACACATCTCTCCTGGAAAGCAGCACTGGGGCAAGTTAAGCTTAAACATGAACATTACAGGGCATCAATAATAATATTTTAAGTTCTAACTGAGCTGCCTTTGTTGGGAGTAAAAACAAACTCAAACATCCCACTGTTGTTTGACATTAAATTGAATAATAATAAATAAATCTCCTGTCTTTGATTTGCTCCTTCTTCACCATCAAAACTGAGTGGAGAAATGTGTGAGTTTGCATACCCAAGACCAATGAAAAAGTGTCAAGACAGTGTCACTTGGCCTGGCCGGCCAGCCTATGTCTCTAAGCAAACTGGAATTGTCCTTTATGGCTATCATCTTGATACAAAGCCTAATTTATTACACATCAAAAATAAAACATGATATGGTTTAAAGGGTTTTAATAGCTAACAATAAATCTCTAGTCCTGACTTTACACTCCTCTCTAGGTTGGACTCAGGGTACCTCGCTCTAGTTACACAAAATCAGCCTTAAGAAATGTTCATGAATTCTACCCATGTGGCTAGATCTGCAAAGGGCAATGAATGGAGATTTGATTATTTCAAAGGCCTAGCATCAATGTGTGTGTGTGTGGTAAAGTGCCATCAAGTCACAGCTAACTTATGATGACCACAGCAAGTGGCTTTCAAGGCAAGTGAGAAGCAGAGGTGGTTTGCCATGGCCTTCCTCTGCAGAGTCTCCCTTGGTAGTCCCAAGAGTGTTGGACTAAATGGGCCATTGGCCTTATCCAACATTGGCTTCTCTTATGTTCTTATGTTTCCCCTTCCAACCCTGCTTAGCTTCTGAGATCTGACGAGATCAGGCTATACCATGCTGCCTTACCTCCCCTAGTATCAATACAATATGAAAATGTTCTCATACTGCCTATGGCATCTCAGTTTCTAGGAACAGCCAGCCGTCCTAGACTATGGAACATCATCTTAAGTGAACATTTTCCAAACTGAACACTTTCTTCCACTGAGGCACTCATCTGTGATCACTTACTTTGATCAGAAAGTTGAAGTACCGGCACCTCTTGCATGCTGCTGAAAGAAAACAAAAAGTTATGATTAAGTACTTGTGCACATACCGCTTGTAAAAACCAAATATTAAGGCAAGGCAAGGCAAGGAAAGGAAAGGCAAGGAAAGGCAAGGAAAGGAAAGGCAAGGCAAGGCAAGGAAAGGAAAGATAGCATTTTGACAAAGCATCAGAGACTGAGACTGGCTTCTGCCAAGACAGGAAATTCTTGCTCAGCTTTAGATTTTGCCTGGAATATTTATTAATGGATCACATTTAAAAAGCTAAAGAATGGGGACATCACATTTACTACCCATATCCAGTCCCCCAAGTCAGCTGTGCATGAGGTACATGTTCCACTTTGCTACATTTCAGAGAACAAAGCTATCCTATGGGCAGAGCAACATTTGAAAGCATGCTGAATGGACCAGGAACCAGAAGGTAACCAAACCCAAAAGTTCCTTAACTCTTCTCCTGATTTTGATGAGCTATCTTATATGTCTATACCTCAAAAGGTAAGCCACAGAAGAAGCAAGACCAGGTGAGGAGACTCTGTCACTCTCCCCAGCAGTACAGTAATTATCCCAAGAAAACAACCTGTGTACAAAGTTTGGAATTAAACAAATGAAACCAACCTTTCTTGTAAAATCTTGAAGAATGACAAGACTTTCACCAGCCATGCACTTTTAACTTGTTATATAATGAAGTGAAGTATATATTCCAAAGTGTACTGCACCATCTGACTATTCTGCACCAGTGCAGACCTGAATCCAGTAGCTCATGAAAAAATAAACGCCATAAAGAGAACAAAAGCAAGTCTAATGGATACTGATGCCATATTGTTTTAGCAAGAGTTCAAAAGAGTAAATCCAATGTATGCCAAGGACATCACAGAGTGAGACAACACAAGAATCACAGAGTTTGCTGCCATCTGTAAACTGTTCCTTTACTGAGTGCAAGAGCTGAGCCACATTTCACATGGCACCCACATGCAGAGCTGCAGTCAGTGTCACCTGTTGACATATGTCTACCACATTTCCCATATTTTTATAGTATGCGCATGAAGCACACCAACACATCTGGCACAGCTCTAATTCAAGGACGTTTTAATAAATTAGGAAAGATAACAAAAGGAAAATGGTCTGGTTGCTCAAACTTTAATGGATTTAAATAACCACATCAGTACACAGTAACTTGCACCATACATTTACATACTTGTTTACGCGACCCTCTTTATGAGTATCACTTAGAAGAACACCAAAGACACTTCCTCTCATAAAACCCTCTGAACTCCCCACCACAGCATACACAAACCTCACAGTCACTCCTCCTATCGGGCACACACAAGTATTGGTGGGCACACACTCATAACAATGTCAGTACGAACTTACTTCAGTATCTCCTCATTGTTATCCACTAACTCTCTTCAGCTACTTTCTCCACCACTAGGTTACATGTCTTTTCCCAAAGTTGCAAGTGTGAATGGCAAACTAAAGAGATAGCACTATGCTTGTCACTGTGTCTACAACTTCTTGTTGCACATGCATATTTATTTATTTCATTATATTTATATCCCGCCCTTCCCGCGAACGCCCTTCAATATATTTATATCCCGCGAATATACTGTGCATCATGCATGCTATAAATGCTTTTCCTCTCCCTTTACTAGCCAAAAGATAAATAAACCGGGTGGGCCTTTTTTCCTCTCCCACTGGTCTTTAATTTGATTTCATTGGTCCACAATTTTAGAATTCATCTGCTGGCAATCCTAAGGCTCTAGAAAGGCCTGAATCATTTTATATTTGAAGCAATTTTGGTATATTGTTCTTAACCAGAAATACTGGGCTTTTGCGAGAATCAGAAGCATGCCATCTGGGGGAAATGGCTGATTCTTTTTCTCACTGTCTTTCTAAAAGTCGTTAGTTTGTAGCCACTTGAAGAAATTTGATTTCACATGAGTAGGCTTGCAGCCAAGAAGAAATTTGGACCCATTATTGAATATAAAGAGGGGGAAAGAAATCCTGCATCATATTATTTGTATCTGGGCTAATTTATTTCTTTTTTACAGCTTCCAGTCTCATTAAAAGACACATTCACATTCAGTTTAATAAAATATTTTAGGTAGAAGACAAACACAAGCACATGTTTTAAAGTACTATTTTCTCAAAGCACAGGGGATTATTTATCCATGTTGATCTCATTAGCACTGAAGGGTGTTATACACAAGCACATGAGTATCCATGCAACACAGAAGGCACACACAAACATTCCAAAGAACAAAGGACTTTTCTATTTTCTGTTCAGTGCAAAACAACCAGCACTTCCTTTTCAAACACCACAAAGCCCTCTTTTTCAGACCAAAAAGTAACTGTCAAAAATATTCAGAATTGTGGAAAAATGAAATGTGTCATTCTATGACCTACCACACCTTCCAAATAACAGCTTTAAAGAATTTGGCAGACTAGATTTCTTCTGTCAGTAGCAATGAGAAACCAAACTAAGGCTGCGGTCACATGGAGTATTAGCCACGCTAGAGAGACGGAAGATAGGTGGGTTTTCCGGGCGCGATCAAACCGCAACATCTGAGAAGCGCAGAGCTCCCGTGGCTAACCCGAGGCTTCCCGCTGAAGATGCGCCATAAAAAACTAGTACCTCCGAGGTACTAGTTTCTGGAAACCGCGGGGCAAGGGCGGGCGTCTGATCAAGTTTCCAGTGGTAGCTCGTGGCATCCGGCACCTGCCCATGTCCCGTCGCGAAAAGGGTTGGTTTTTTTCACGTCTTCGTGGGATGCGCACAAGCACCCAACGGCATGCGCACACTTCGGTTTAAAAAAACCACAACCCCCGCCACACCGCTTCTTTGCCACGCTGCAGGATTGATGTATGATCAGCACCTCCCCCGAACCACGGGAAGTCAGTGGGACATTTGATCCGGCAGCCGTGCGGTAGTTCGCTCCGGGGCAAACAGCCACACCTCCCCGCTGCGATATCCGGCCCATGTGACCGGGGCCTAAGCTAATAAAAAAGTATAATATCCTAGACAATTTTTGAACACTTATTTACTAAATGATTACCATAGATCAGGGCTACTCAACATTTTTGAACTTGCAGGCACCTTTGGAATTCTGACACTGTGTGGTAGGCACAGCCACAAAATGACTGCCACAAATGGCTCCCACAGAAGGCAGGGCTAGCCACAAAATGGCTGCTGCAACTTACCTGCAGTCCTTGTGCTGTAATGGCAGCTGCTGCCAAAGCAACATTTTAAAATAAAATCTGCACAGCCAATCAAATCTCCAATGGCCAATCAAAAGTCTGGCCAAAAGCCCTACTATCTAAGAACACTAGGTGGGTACCACAAAAGGTGTCAGCAGGTGCCATGGCATCCCCAAGCACTATGGTGAGGTCTCCTGGCATAGATAGCTGCTGTGGGAAATAAATGTACGCCGAGATGACAGTTTCTTGTACCCCTTCCTGGGCATTGTAAAAAGACGAAGAAGAGTTGAATTTATACCCTGCCCTTCACTCAGAATCTCAGAGCGGCTTACAATCTCCTTCCCTTCCTCTCCCCACAACAGACACCCTGTCAGGTAGGTTGGGCTGAGAGAGCTCTGAGAGAACTGCTCTTGAGAGAACAGCTCTGAGCGAACTGTGACTAACCCAAGGTCACCCAGCTGGCTGCATGTGGTGGAGTGGGGAATCAAACCCTGTTCTCCAGATTAGAGTCCCCCACTCTTAACCAATACACCAAACTGGCTCCCTGTTGAAAAGTGGGGCATTTTATGATAAAGAATCCCACATAGTTTGTCCTATTGGTCTCCTCCTTTATGATCCTTCCTCCAACTACTTTTTCATTAGGGAAAGTTAAGAAAATTTTAGCATTCCCTTTTTAATTTGAGGTACGTTATGAAGGCTCAGACAGTGGTTTAATTAAGAAAGGCAAACTATGAGGAAGACTGAGAATTCTCTATCCTGATTCAATTCCCTGATTTCTACTGCAGATGTGTAGTTGATTACAAAGAAGAAGCCTTATGGGAATAGTAGGTTAGATACTTGTGAGGGGATTAAGGTAAATATCCCAAGAAACAAGCTAACTAATATTCTTGGGTTTTTTAAATTTTAAACTGTTTATTGAAGATTGAAATAAAACACAATGCAGTACTTAGTAAATTATGAAGGAAACAATTACAAAATGATCATATTGATTACCTGTGTTGTCGTCCCCCCCAGTTGAACTCAAATGGATGATAACCAGAAACTAAGCTTGTCATTGTTTTGATCTGTTAAAAAAATATCTTCAATATTTTGCTTGTTAATTTAACAAGCCACTTCTATACATACAACTATGATATGTAATTCCATTTCATGATAAGAACATAAGAACATAAGAGATGCCAATGTTGGATCAGGCCAAAGGCCCATCCAGTCCAATACTCTATCACACAGTGGTCAGAAATACCACTGCCATCAGGAGGTCCACCAGTGGGGCCAGAACATTAGAAGCCCTCCCACTGTTGACCCCCCCCCCAAGCACCAAGATGACAGAGCATCACTTGCCCCAGAGTCCCTATCTATACCTTGTGGCTAATAGCCACTGATGGACCTCTGCTCCATATGCTTATCTAATTCCCTTTTGAAGCCGTCCATGCTTGTAGCTGCCACCACTTCCTGTGGCAGTGAATTCCAAGTGTTAATCACTCTTTGGGTGAAGAAGTACTTCCTTTTATCCGTTCTAACCCGACAGCTCAGCAATTTCATGGAGTGCCCACGAGTTCTTGTATTGTGAGAAAGGGAGAAAAGTACCTCTTTCTCTACCTGCTCTTTCCCATGCATAATCTTATAAACCTCAATCATGTCACCCCTCAGTCGCAATGCATGGCTAGGAATAAATACAGTGAAGCAACATGTTGAATACCGGCAAACAGATTGATGACTTACTGAACCAGTCCTCGAAAAATCGTCCCTGCTTGTGATCAGTGAACAGAGCATGAGCCAAACTGGCAGGTGTTCATATGTCCCTAGCCAGGAG